CCAATTAACCACCAGGTGTTTTTTTAGCATTACACAACATTACTAGCCTTTTGTTGCCCCCGTCCCAACTTTTTTTGGAATGTGTTGTTGGTATCAAATTCAAAACAGGCATATATTTTTCAAAAAACAATCAAATTTCTCAGTTTCAACATTTGATTTGTTATCTTTGCACTATTCTCCATGAAATATAGGGTTTAAATTATTTGCACATCACTGCATTTTGTTTTTATTTACATTTTGCACAGCGTTCGAACTTTTTTGGAAATAGGGTTGTAGAATATGTCCAACTTGACGACAGTGTTTTTATACCCCACCCCTGCAGTCATCGGCAGTTCAAACTGACTGTCACGTCAGCCAAAGTCAGGCCAAATCGAAAATGAACACAGCCATTGCTTAATGGAAGACCTTCACAACTCATTACACAAGAATTCTCATCATAATGAAGTAAAACCGGTCTGACAGATCAAGAGGCAGGTGTGGAGTTGTCAATCATTACTGACTGGAGACTTTATGAACAGAAATACAGTTGCTACATTGCAAGATGCAAACCACTAATTAGCCACAAGAACATGATCAGGTTACAGTTTGCTAAAAAGTACTTAAAAGAGCCTGCAGAGTTCTGGGGAAAAAAAGAACATTTGAGCCCAAGGCTAACTTCTGTCAGACCAATGGAATTATTAAAGTGTGGACGTGAAAAGGAACTGCCCATAATCCAAAGCTTACCTTCTCATCTGTGAAACATAGTGGTGAGGGAATTATAGCCTTGGTGTGTATGCCTGCCACATGCACTGCTTCACTCATTTTCATTGATGATGTGACTGCTGATGGCAGCAGCAAAATTAATTCTGAGACATATAGAAACATCTTATCAGCTCAAGTTCAGTGCCTCCAAACCCATTGGACAATGCTTCATCCTGCAGCAAGACAGTGATCCCAAACATATAAAGCATCAAAGGGGGTTTTAAAGCTAAACACTGGAAAATTGTAGACTGGCCAAATCAGTCACCTGCTCTGAGTTCGACTGAGCATGTGATTCTTTTGCTAAAGAAAAAACCTAGCCCTTGAAACAAGCAGGAGTACAAGCATGGCAGGGCATCTCCAGAGAAGACATTCAACACCTGGTGATATCTATGAATCACAGACTTAAAGCAGTCATTGCATGCAAACGATATGCAACAAAGGGAGAAGGAGGGGGGTAGTAAATGTGCTATAATTTCTACATGGTAAAACTAAAATGTATAAAAATATTCTATATTAAAATCTGTGAATGTGCACTTTAACTGCATTTGAATTGTTTGAGTACAAATTTAAAACTGTGGAATACAAAACTACGGAAACAAACAAAAGTGTTTATGCCTTTGTCCCACACATTATGGAAGGCACTGTGTATGCATCTGTAGGCCATTTACTATATCACTGATATTCATAATAATATGTTTAAACAAAGCAGAAATCTAGATAGGAGTAAAAAAAAGCAGGTTATCTAGATAGTGTAGTAGCTAATGTTCATAGGCCATCTAATTTGAACCATGTATAAATTACACCCTTCTGTGACACACTTCCATTTTAGGAAACCAAAAGACATTTGAGAATTAGCTTCTTTGTAGGTTCTTGTCCAAATCCAAGTTTAACAACAAAAATCCAGACAAGCATGCTGACACAATGCTTAAAAACCTTAAGGGCTAATAAATACAAACAAGCAAGCATTACTGCATTTCTTACTTCAATTGGCTAACAAAATTGTAAAGAAAACAGAAATACAGCACAAAATGATCATTAGAATCAAGTTTTTTAACGCGTTCTGACAGAGAAATGGTGCCAAACTCCACATCCAGGTAGCTATATTCCTTTAGCTTTTAGCTTATTGTCCTTTTGATCTGATGAGCCACTTTCATTGCAAGTAATTCATTCTAACTTTGTGATAATTTGAACAGGGTTGAACTTGTCGTACAGTATCACTGAAAACAAAGAAAAAAGGATGAAAAATTTGCTTTTCCTTTTCCCATGATCTTCAGGAAATCTGGATGATGCAACTTCCTGTTGTATAGGTGATTTGTGGAATATTCCAAATATTTTATAGGGGTGAATGTGTTCAAGTAACAGGGTTGAATTAATGTTGATGGACACAAATAACATATACAATATCATGGGGAATTGATTCATTCATTAATGCAAAAATAATAAGGTTGTTTTTTAATGATTATATATATTAAGGTAAAGTGTAGTCATGGCAGGCTGTGATAGTCAAAAATACTGTTGTACATTTTTAGGTTATACTGGAGTTTTAAGTTATTTACCTTTACATGCATAATTGTAAAAGCAATATCAGTGAGACACAAATGGCACCTTAATTGTGGAATCACCTATGTAGCGACTCTTTTGGAAAGTCCCTTTAATCAACCTTGCTGTTGTTGGAGTACATTACAAACGAGAGGCAACACCATGTCTTACTTGCGTTCTTGTAAATGGTGCTTCCTGTTTAGAAATGGTGGGGCAAAATATAGTCCTCAAAATACAGTGGGTGGGGCCTCACCTTGCAGCATAAAATATTAGCTACTGCTAAAGCAACTAATAAGTTCAAGATTTTTTCACTGTCCAAGTCACATGACTGAGTACTAAAGAGCAAAGCATTTCACTACTGAAGAAAAGGCTGAAGACAAAAAAACCTGGTTTAACACCAAAAATATGTATGCGGGCTACAAATTATATTTGTAAATTACATATGTCTCACCCTAAATAGACATATATTTTAATTACATTTCGAGGAATCAAATATCATCAACTAGCCCATTAGTGAGTGCTATCTAAGCTAGTTTCGTTTACCATTGATTTATTCACTAGTTTCAGGTGACCAGATTTCTTAAATGAAAACCATGGACATTTCCAGTTCAGTGCTCAATATATAATTAAAATATGTTGTTATCTTTTAAATAGTTCCAGTTCATGTATTTTGACCATGGTAACTTTTGCACTGTGGTGAAACTGGGTATTGACAAAGTAACCCATGTCAGAAAATCATATAGGCCTAGTAGCCTACCATGGTAAGTGAAGCTATGGTAAACTATAGAACACTCAACAAAGAAAATCAGCATGCATGGGAATCAATTACAATAGGCCTATAAAAGATTTATGTTCCTTGCTTACCGCTTGCAGATTTATCGCTCGTTGCTTTTTAGAAATAGAGTCACTAACTAAGTAAAAAGGGTCTCAAAAGTCACTAGTGGCTTAGGCAGTGTGAGGCAAGGATACACAAAAAGATTCAGTTTTTGAGCCCATAATTCATATTCATATTAACTAATTTGGCAGCAAAAAGAGGCCTGTGGCTACAGAAAAAAAGACCTGTGGCTATAAAAAAAGACCCGTGGCTATAGCTTAATAGGCAGACCCTAAACACATGCTTGGGCTAGCTTCCGTTCTGGAGAGACAGAGGCGGCTGCTATCAACATATGCCACATGTAATATATGGATTGCTGAAAAAGTCACGCAGTTTAAAAAATGAAGCACTATTTGTAGACCGCTGATTAGTATAGGCATACAAGTTAAATAGGTAGAGGTCAAGTAGAAGCTACCTATCACCTGGTAGCACGATTTGAGTCCCATAACCCCACCCCTGCTTTTAATCCGTGTCTTGATGGTGGTGATGTTGTGGATTCACTTGACACTTGCTAGCTACCTTCTGGTCGAGTTTTAGACAGTAATATTCTCTAAAACTAGACATCGAAACGGTAGAAGTAGTCAGTAGATAGCAGCAGCTAGCCCCCTCTGTTGGACAAAACAAGAAAACGCGAGACGTCTGCCCGTCTGCTCTGCTGTCAGGTCTTTTTTTAAAGACTTTCCGGTGTGTTTTTAATTAACAGTTAAAACGGGGACATTTCACAGTCCCAGCCGGGGACTGTCTCCAGAAAACGGTCACATTAAGTTAACTAGCTAGCTAGCTAGGCTAACGTGGTTAAAGAAAATGTAAATATGACTTCTAGGCTTCAGCTGCACTCACCTTGCAGGAAAAATCACTTTACGGAAGCATACGTTGGTATTCTTCATTTTCAATTCATTTTTGTTTTTTTTCTTATGTTTATCTCAAACGATGTTTTAACGAAACGCTCTACAAACTCATTGTTGAAATTCGAATGAAAACAACCTACTCACGTGCTTGCATCTGATATCAGATTTAAAATTCCACTATATGTTTCACACACTGGGACTTACCATTAAACATGTTAAATATTTTGTGCCATAAATTTTACTCCATTGTGAAATACTTTTTTAGTGCAAAATACGAACCTTATCGTCTTCGTGTATTTTATTAGAGGGAAAATTGACAAAGAAGAATCTAAACCCGCTCTAATGTGCAGTGGTTGTTTATCAATGGCAGCCTGTTTGCTTTGGCTCGCAGTGAACATGAATGGGAGTTGGAGATGAATGGAGGCAGCCCAGTGGAAACTAGTGAGAATTCTGTCATGGCTCCTTCGGCTCTGCGGCGCAGGGAGCTGTCCGAGGTGCTGAACTGTAGTTTCCAGTTTCCGCCACAGCCGTGTGCATTTTTTGTGAGCGGGCTTCAAATGATAGGCCTTTACCGCCGAGTCATGTCATTAAATAATGGGAAATTACTATATGGCAGGTTGATGTAGGCTACTATAATGGTCTGTATCTCATTTCTCAACTTCACTTGTCTATGTTTGCATCTCTTTGCTTCCGTTAGCCAGACAGTTTACTGAGTCGCAGCGTTCCTTACAGCCATAGTGAGTATTTGGTGCTGCAGCTCACAACTGAATATATACGCACCCGATGTAATCTGCGGGATTATATTGGATTATATGAATGCGACGTGCACTGGGTGTCATCGACGGTGTGATCTGCTGCTGGCGATGGTCAGAAGGGAACGCGGCAGGTAGAGTAAGAGGAAAGAGGCAGGGAGGAAGTGATTGAGAGAGAGAGAGAGAGAGAGAGAGAGAGAGAGAGAGGGAGGAAGGGAGAGGAAGGGAGGGAGTGTGAGGGAGGGAGGATGCTGCCGCTGCTGCCAGCGGAAAATGGCCGCTGCAACCTCGAGCCCATCCTGATACACCGAAATGATAGAAAGGTGGACAGAGAAAAGATAAGATAATGAGAGCCGCGAGCACGACTGAGAGAGAGTGAGTGAGTGTGTGTGTGTATGTGTGTGTGTGTGTGTGTGCGCGCGAGAGAGAGTGTGTTTGTGTGTGTGTGTGTGTGTGTGTGTGTGTGTTTGAGTGAGTGAGCGCGCGCGCGTGTGTTCTGGTGAGAAGGGAAATAAAAAAGCCAGGAGACCGGGGGGCAGCCAGCTCGAAGCGGCGACTAACACTGAGCCATGGAGGGCGAGTAAGTCCTTACATTTTTTTTATTTGAGCGAACGATAGAGCGGACCAAAGCGATGGTCTCTGTGAAACGGATTCATTTGTGCTGCCTCTAATGGACTGTAAGGCGGTCATACGAGCACTGAAGGCGCCTACAACTGATGTAGTTGGTGTAAAAAACACCATTACGTAGCTGTAGCTATCAACAGTGTGCACCCTCTTCATCATACATCCACAAGAACACATTTTTTGGAATACGCGAAAATAATTAGTGTTCATGTGAGACACAGTGTTCAAAAACCTCGTAACGTTCGATGTTTAATACCGTATCAAAGACGAAGAGGTTGCCAGTATTGCTTTTTTTACTTTCAGAATACGCAGCACGTTTTCGTCTCGGAGATCAGCGGCGAATTCGTGAAGCAACGAAATATGTCAGGGAATGTGAAAATGTGTTGGAGGGGGGGAAAATGAACAAAATATGGCGTGTTTTCGGCCACCATCGCCTTTCGAATCCCATTTGCGGACGGAGGCTGATGCAAAGGCAAAGGGGGCGATCGCCTGGCGATTTTTTATCAACGCGTCTCGAGTTTCATTATGATTTTTAAAGCCAAACTTTATGAATGAAATGTGATTTTTTTTTCCTCCCTCACCCTCTTCCTCAACCCCCTCCTTTTCTTCCTTTTCTCATGGCCCGGCGCCCCGCCGCCCCGCCGCCCCGCTTGAGCTCGCTTCCTCCATCTCTCCTTGCACCCACTCATCTTTCCTTTTCTTCACGATTGTGGTTTTCGGCCCCGCGGATACAGCAGATCCGTTTTGAATTGGCCACTTTTTTATTGTATTTCATTCATAAAACAAGCGGCTGCCGAGCTGCTGAGCACGGATGTACGCTGATGAGAGGCGGAGAGAGAGAGAGAGAGAGAGAGAGAGAGAGAGAGAGAGAGAGAGAGAGAGCGAGAGAGAGAGAGAAAAGAACGCAATGTCTCAAAATAAACTGGCAGCGGATGATACTGATGAACCTCAGGATCGAATCTAGACAGGATTCGTCGTGTTTATTTTAACATCTGTTTTTATCAGTGGGCCTGTCGGTCTGGAGGAAGGAGCTAGGCTCCATCGTGGCTCCTCTGGCTTAGACATCAACGGGCCTCATATGGCGAATGGGCGCGTTCATTGATATCTCTGGGAGAGAAACCCTCACTAGCTAACCACCCCGCCTCCGACCACCACCATCACCATCACCCCTCAGGCTGTCTCCATAATTTGTCGCCTCTTCAAGTGCCATTTCCTAGTTGTCATTGGCATATTCCGTGTTTCTGCCTTAGCACGAAACGTGTCTGCTTTGGCCTGCATGTTAACACGTCAGTTCGCTACGTGCCAGCTCGAGCCCCCATGTAACAGCGACGATGGCTGGACATAAGTTAGTCCCTGCATGAAAAGCGAGATTACATTTACCTCGGCCACGTGACCGTCCATTAAAAACCCGCGTTGCTTCCTGTCATTGATATAATCGTGTCTCACCGGCTGTGCTTTCGGGGTAAAACTGAGGGTAGAATCGACACGAACGCACAACGCTCGTGCTGGACGTCCACGATTTTTCAGCACGAGAAAACGGTTTATCATCTTGCTCGTGTCTGTTGTACTGTAACACTAAAGGACGCCCTGTAGTGAAGAAAACATTGATAAAGCTCATAAGAGAACTTCGTTTTTAATGCAGTATGTGTACACGTTTATTGGCAAGATTGGTTCTCTCTCTTCTTATTATTCTTGTTTTTAGCTGCTGCCTTTTTCGTTGGTTTTCCGTCTGTTATTTGGACGTTTGGCAGCGTTCATATGTGTGTGAGAGAATAATACGCATGCAGTTGGGTGGATAAAGGTGTGGGTGTTGGTGTGTAATGTGTATATATGAAGGGTTTCATTCCAAAATGCACTTTTATGAGTTTTCTTTTGTTTTCATTGTATACATTTTTGGCAGTGGTCTTTAACCCTCCTGTTGTGTTCGTTCCGGCGAACACTCATAGTGTTCCCGGTCACTTTTGACCGGGATCATTTTATTCCATTATAAATCAACAATAATACATATATTATCACCTAATGTTGTGTTAGATCTTTTTATGAACTTCAGCTCTTGTGAACATTGTAAGTTTTGAACTTGTATTTGCTGTTTATGTCCTGCAGGCCTCATTTACCTGAGCTCAGGGGAAAAAACATTATATACATATTATTTTGACTATAACGAATACTAGGATGAAACCTATTGTAGTGTTTGTCACAGAGTACTTCACTGAAATGTTTACCAAAGTCACTTTCTTGAAACCAGTTTTCTAAACTGTGGCACAAAATAACAACGTTCGTGTTCCCGGTCAAAATTGACCTGTATGATTTATTTATTGAAAACAAAAGCCCAAATGTACACAGGGAAAATTTAAGAGAAATGCTTGAACCATACACTGTATGAACATATTTACAATTTTCTATTGTACTCTGAAAAGCAGTGCCATAATGTTATCCTTATGTTCCTCAGTTTTGTTCTCTCATGAGCATGTGGGGCAATATACTGTGGTCACTGCATGTTCTTTGCATATACATATACACCGCATCTGTGACACACAAAGCTAGTTTTTTTATCTCTTGGTGCACACAGTTGGCAACTCTTTCTTTTGACTCCTTCTCTGGTTGCTGTGGATGTGCTTGATATGTGCTTGAACTCCATAAAACACACTAATTTTTCTAAAAATATTTCAGATTTGTTTTAGGTGTTCAAATACCATGTGTGAACAAAGTCATGGAGTCATGACAAACAGATGAAATTTACTACACTTTTTAAAGAGGAAACTTGTAAATCGGTCAGATTTGACCGGAACACAACAGGAGGGTTAAACATAAAAGAAAAATCAATGCTACAGTACTGTGCGAAAGTCAGAGTGACAAGGGCCATTAAGTAGAAGTTATTCATTTTTTTTTTTGTATTTCTGAAGAGATTATACATAAGATACTTTTTCAAAACTGGAGCCCAAAAAATTATTAAGATACAGAGAAAATGTGCAAGACCTCGTAGACCACCAAAACCATCTCCATCAAATAGGGAGAAAATCTAGCTCCACTCTTGCTTCACATCTGAAAAAAATCCACAGGTGTTTCTGTTCGTCCTTCCAGTGTGAGAAGAAAAATCAATGATATGGGTCTGAAAGGTTGTATAGCTGTCAAGAAGCTGTTAACAAGAAAAAGGAAATTGACAAAAAAGAGGAAAATTAAAGGAGCTGCTTGTGTTCTCAGAACAAGGGACTGTCCATCACAGAGCCCAGACCTCAACCTCATTGAAAGTTGAACTTGTATTTGAGAAGCAGGAAATGCAACCAAGAAGACTGAACTTTGTAGGCGTGGAATAATATTCCCACTGATTTCTTTGAAAAACTGAAAGCAAGTTTCCCAAAAAGAATGGAAGCTGTGAAAAAGCAAAGAGGGGACAGACTAAATTCTGAAAAAAATGATATTATATTTAGTTATTGAGTTTTCTGTTTAATTTTCTGTGAAATATGTTTTCTGTTTTTTTCCCGATGCAGAAAAATTGAATGATTTGTACTTAATTGCTGTTTTGACTGGAAATTAAATTTATGAAAGGTAGTCTCTGACTTCTGCATTGTACTGTATACTGTGATTAATCCTACCCTAATGAGAGAAATAAAAATGCATTTTTTTTGACAAGGTGCATTATACATCAGCTGCTATTCTTGTTGCAAATGGATATACACTGTTTTGGAATTAAACTCTTCATATGTAGATGGTCAGGTGTGTATTTGTGTTTTTCATGCTTAGCCTGTGTCCTCACACCTCATACCTCCCTACAGTGTGCGTGTCCGAGCAGTGGTGATGACACGTGACGACTCTAGTGGCGGCTGGGTGCCCCTTGGAGGTGGCGGCCTCAGCCATGTTATCATCTGTAAGGGGCGGAGCTCCGAAGGCCGAGGACAGAGGGAGTACGTCATACGTGGAGAGCGACTGCGCGATCGAGCAGTGAGTGTGTGCGTGTGTGTTCATGCCTGTCTCTTGACTGCCCCGCCATTTCCTCAAAAAGCTGCTAAGGACGCTGACCTGTGCCCTCTGTGAGCCAGCAGCTTTGGAGCATCTTTGGTGCCCTCTACCAAACCCCCCTTTCGTGGAACAACACTTACCCTTCTCTCTCTATGCAGCCCGTGCTTGAATGCGCCGTTCAGAAGGGTTTGGTCTACAATAAGGTGAACCCCATCTTCCACCACTGGCGTGTGGAGGAGAGGAAGTTTGGCCTGACCTTCCAGAGTCCAGCTGATGCCATCTCGTTTGAGAAGGGCCTACAAAGTGTCCTTGACAAGCTGGACAGAGGTACTACAGGAGCCCAGAGGCATAAGATAGGATACCTATAGGATTTGTTGATAATTTATGGCCACAGTTCTAACTCCTGGTGTCTTATTGCAGCATCTTGTGTTTGTTATAACCTGTTTCGTTTTAGGATTTTAGATGTTTATCCTATGTAGTCTAATACAATTTCTTACAAGAGAAAATTAAAATGCCTTTGTGTTTCCCCATCATTTCTTTCTTTTAGGATCTGACTCACCTTCTTCCTCCACACCAGAGGAGGGAGACACTGAAGATGATGGTCAAGCAGTGAGTGTTTTTCATCACCTCACCACTTTTATCGCTGATGTATCATCTAACTCAGGCCTGAATCTAATCCACAGAAAAAAAATCAGTCCTTACTCACTTCCCCCACTCCATTCCACCTGGCAAATCCATGATGCAGAGATAAACCTCTTTTTTAAAATCTGATTGAAAGTCTTGGTAGGATTATAAGAAGAAAAGTTAGAAGCACACAGATTAGTACCTCTGAAAACATAATATTATTAAAAAAACAAACTGGACCTACAAGATGTTCAGTGAAGACATGCATGTTTGAGAACTGACATTATGAACGGCCAGTTTAGCCCAGTTTAGATAAAGCAAAAATTTGCACTGGGAACTATGTTTACTTTAAACAAACCTTAAAATTCTTTTTAGCCACTTGTAGTGTAAGCAGCATTTTTTCATGTCTAATAAGGAAGAAGTGTGAAATAAGAAAGCTCTCCCTTCAGATAAGTTAACACTAAAGCTAACATTGGAGCTAATCAAATCAATATTACATGCTGAGGACTCGTCACACAAGGTCTTTCAGCAAACTGTAATCAACTAATATTTATCATTACGCATATGCAAGCACTGCACAGTCCTGTTTAAACTAATTATTAAATTCTTCTTATTATTATTATTAATTATTAAATTAAACCAATCCTGACATCGTACTGTAACATTATTCATTATTAGACGTCATAATAAAATGATTGTTGGCAAATACACAAACTCAGATATAGTTTAGCTTACCTTAGAGTCTGTTACTAGTTTTTCCATAGAGCTGTGAGTCTGCTCATATTTTAATGCAAAATGTTTTCAGCTTCAGGAATGAGATAAAACAGCACCACTCTCCAGATGATCAATTACTGCCACCACCATTTTCCCTGCAGGTTTGTTCTGAGGAGTTTTGTCAGAGTTTTTTTTTTTTTCATTCACAGAGGAAGTAGTGTTTAGAGACAACTGTGATTGGCTGAGAGGCATGCCAATCTTCATAATCAGCTACACTCTTAAAAATAAAGGTTTCTAAAAATCGTTTTGGTTATTTTATTTTCATGAGAATCTTTTAATGGATAGTTCCTTTTTGTAAATGAATTCCACAACAGTGAATGTTTTTTTTTTCTAGAACCATAAGCCAAGAATCATTTAATAACCTCTACATTAGGACCATTTTTAAAAGTGTAGGAGATTAGCCATTAGCAAAGAGTGTTTTAGTTTCGTACTTTACTTTTGATTTTGATTACCATTTTTAGATTGGACAGTTCTCCAACTAACACCGCTCAAAATCATCCTTATTAAAAATCAGTTTTACTTCTGTAGTTATCATTCTAACGGATCCCTCTCACAAAGTGTATGTTTCCTAATCACAGTGTACCTCAGAAAAAAAACAACTACATCTCCTCTTTGAAAGTACATGTTTGCTTTTATTTAACAGTATGTATGTTCTTCTAGATTTTAGCATCAGTCTACAGTGATTTGTAGTCATGTACCCATCATACAACAGCATCTGCATGTTAGTCCATGAGCATCTATTAGCAATTACAAATGACGAAATAGAAAGGAAGAATCTAGAAGGAGCACACCATGGCTTGGAACATCACAAAGGCAGCATATTGTACTCAGTGGCAGTGGATATTTGACCAGTGTTTGCAGAAAGAACTTTTTTTTACTTTGTGATTTTACAGCTGCTGTACCATGTTTTGATCTCCAAAAGTGTGTAGACACCTGCTCATGCAATGTTTCTTTAGAAATCAAGGGTATTAGAAGGACATTTGCTCACATTTGCTGTAGTAATAACCTTTATTTCTACTAAGGCTATACACTAGATGCTGGAACATTGCGGTGAGAATTTGTTTGTATTCACTCACAAGAGCATTAGTTAGGCCAGGCACCAATGTTGGATCACAGATGGCATTTCAACTCACCCCAAAGGTATTTGATGGTGCTCTGTTACTCCAGAGAACACAATTCTCACATATCCCTCTATCTCGATGTTCTCTCTATCTTAAAGTTCTCAAACTGGTCCTCAGATGGTCCAAATTTTTCCTAGATTTACCACTCTCAACACACGGGAATAGAGAAAAAATGTGGACTATCTGGTGGCCTTAAGAACTGATTTGAAATCCGCTGCTCTAGCTATTGTGGCTTTGAGCATGATAATCTCAGGCCTATGTTAGCTGCTCCAGAGTGTCCCATTCTATTGGCAGTGCTTTTCCTTTGAGATTATACAAGCTGTAAATGCACAATTGAATGGATACGTTTGGACATACAGTGTACACTGAGATACATAATCAAGTATAGGTGCAGTCACTTACATTATTTGTCAGTAAGAGGCTATTTGGAATAAGGATTTTTTCAGCCATTGTTGCCATTTGTCTGAGCTCAACAGAGCTGCATAACATTAGCCTTTCTGTAGCTAGACTTTCTGTGTCATGTGAGGGCACCTTGATAGCAGTAGCACTAGCCGGTTCTGCATGTTTGATGACTTGCAGTCTGTCTCAGTCTCACACAGGCAGTGAGTCGTCCTCCAACAGCAGAAAGGAGATGTTACCTAAGCCCATCACCATAGTGACCAGCGAGTCCTCCTCCACCTGCTTTGTGCGTTCCGCTGCAGAAGAGTTTGGATATGGGGCAGGGCATGCTGTCACTACTCAGACCCCTGCCCAGGTAAAGCCCTCTTCACCTGTCTATCAGAGTGTGATTCTCCAATTGAGAGCAACACCACAGGCAGAATGATAGATAGCGGCTTTGCATACTAAATTTTTCCACCATTAATTTTAATGGTAGCTAAAGCTGTTCAGCAGGACCAGGGCACCAGGTGATCATTTTTGCTGAAAACTATACCTGTGTGGATATGTACTTATAATACTTATTCTTCCTACCTTCTTTCCATCTCTTGCTTGTGACCAGATCCACACGCGGCCTACCCAGCATCAGCTCTCTCAAGTGACGGCTGTGTTGAATCCTCCGGCCCCTCCTCCCCCTCCTCCTGCTCCCCCAACCCCTCCACTGGTGCCCCCTGCCTCCTCTCCCCTGTCCCCTCTCTCCCCTACTATATCCTTGCTGGAGGAAGGTGACCTGCGCAATCTTGACCCTTGCAAGGACTTATGGGGCTCCCGGGGTTACGAGGACTACCGGCGTGCTGGAGCCACGCGGACCAAGGTTGGAGGTCTGACAGGGGGTGTAGTTGTGGGAGGCGGTCCTGACAAATCGGAGCTGTGCGTGGTGCGCTTTGAAAAAGAGCTGGCAGGTGTGGGCATCACAGGCTGCGAGGTCACCGTCATGCTGGACACCAAAGGTTCTCAGCATCACTCCTCTTCGCCCACATGTATGCCTAATGCTGTGCCTGGCTCGTCTTCTGCTGGCGGCTCACCGCAGGAGACGGGCAAAGGCTCACCTTCGCCGTGCTGCATCCATACCTCGCTTGCTACACCTCGCTCTCGGACTCGCAAGAGAGGGGGTGGCGGAGGGGCCAGTGGGGGTGGAGACGCCATCTCACCCGATGACGACAGCCCATGCCCACAGGGCTCGTCTTCGTGCTCATCTCGCTGCGTGTACTGCCGCTCGGTCTTCAGCGCCTCAGAAAACGGGCGCGGCCGCTGCCGGGACGCTCCGGACCCAGCCCTGCACTGCCTGCGCCAGTGGACGTGCGTGTGGTGCGCTGAGAGCCTGCTCTACCACTGCATGTCGGACTCGGAGGGCGAGTTCTGGGAGCCATGCTCGTGTGAGGACTCACTGGGCCGCCGGCCACACCCGCTCTGCTGCGCCCGCTGGATGGCACTACTGGCGCTGTCACTTTTTGTGCCCTGCATGTGCTGCTACCTGCCCCTGCGCGCATGCCTGCGCTGCGGGGAAAGATGCGGCTGCTGCGGTGGAAAGCACAAGGCTGTGCGGTGAGACCTGGCTGGGGGAGGGAGGGAGGGAGGCTGGGGCAGGGTGGGCGTGGGTGGCCAAGGATGAGTCTTGTGGAGTTTTTTGGGGGGTTAAGGTGATTGTGATGGGGTGGGAGAGGGAAGGGAGCACAGAGATATTGTTGTCATTTTGAGGAACAGCTGTAGAGCCAGATCTCATACACTTTCATGATAAAAAAAAATCCCCTCCTCCCCCCACGATCCTCTGCTGCATTCCGCCCGTACCCTTCTTTACCTGGACCCTTGTTGTTGGTGCCAGCGGGTGATGAGCTAGCAGTCACCATGCTCTTCAGAGAGGCAGGCGCAGGAGAACTGTTCCCACTTCCAGCCTATCTGAGCTTTGACTGGCTGGTGTGAGGGCTCGGAGGTGAAGCATTGAGGGGAACACTGACATAAAGTGTTTCAATTGTTAGTTTTTTATTTAGGAAGAAAATACAAGGAAAAAATACAAATGATGTTTATAAGTATAATTATAATTTTTATTAGTATATCTTATTTTACTTGAAATATTGAAAGGTTTTTGATAATTTTTGGATTTATTAATTTAATGAACACACTCCCCTTTTACCTCTAATTTACTGAGTTTTACCTCAACGTTCTGAAGAGTGAGACAGTGAGAGAGCAAGAAAGATGAAGGTTAGAGAGAAAAAAGAAATGAGTAAAGAGACATTTAAAAAAGACGGTGCTGTGATCTGGAGTTGTCTTTGGAGTAGTTTCGTAAAGCGTCATGTAAGAGCACATTGTTTCGGAGGAATTTTTGTGTGCATTTCACTTTTTTTGGAGACAAAGGGTGAAGATACACAAATGTAGTTTTGTCAAATGCTTCAAGACAGTTTCATCAAAATTATTTTTGTACACAGACACATGCTCACTGTTCTAGAAACAATCCAGTTGGATCTTATTTAACTGTCAGCAGCCAAGTTTCCATGTGTTGAAACTTCGAACCAAAAAAAAAATACAGGAGAATGTCCAGACAGATAAATGGTAACAATTACTTAACAAGTACCAACATCCGTCTCACAGCACAGTCAGCAATGCACTGAAAGATTATATTTTATAAAAAGCCTGTTGGGATTTTGATCACAGGGACGCATGAAATTAAATTAAATTAGGCTGACGATGAGAACAATAAAGATTACTGGAAAAGTGGAAGTGCAAACACTTTCGTGTGTAGGACACGTTTACCCCCTTATACTGGCATTTAAAAAGATCTGATTGATTTGTCACTGTAATCTGTTCCAAAGTGACCCTGATCGTAGACTGTATTCATATTAATACATGACTGGGATTTTATAAAGGATGTTACTGTGAAGAGTTGCCAGGTATATCTTGGTCTTTTTGCAGCTGAATACAGTGATTAAAAGATGTACAATTTTAGAATGCTTTTAGTAGTGAAGAATCCACATAAATCAGATCAAGTGCTGCCTGGGATCATAGATTGGACCTCAAACCTACTGTATATGTGAGAGAACATGGCTTTAAAACATTATTCTCTCAAAGCTGCTATTTTAACCCCCTACAACTCATTCATACCTCTGCTTCTCATGATTAGAATCAGACAAAGCCAGCTTCTAGACGACCGTGCCTCTGAGCCAAGTCAAAGAGAGAAAATCAATGTGATGCAAGCACATCTGTGGTGGGCAAGTTTTCTGATGTAACATGAAAACTAAATGTTTTGTTAACTTCTGACTGGAGACACTTAAATGAAGGAAGGTTCTTAAAGTGTGATGGATTAGGGGAAAAGCATACAAAGATTTGAAATCATGTGACCACATACTGACCCTTTTTCCTGTCCAAGTGTGAGACCATCACTAGCCTCACTGGAATCCAGTCCTTGAGACACATCAAATTCCTACATGAGTTCACCCACAAAGGCCCCATCCGTACATCTTAATAAATGTGCCTTTTTATTTGATTAATCAATAACATATAATTTTCAAGTAACTATGTACCTGAATACTTATTTACTTTTTTGGGCCATTTGTTTCAGCCAGTGTGCATATTTTAATATGTATGTATCTATTAGTTTGAAAAGTAATTAATGAGAAAATATTACCTGTTTATTTATTTAATGAGATATTTATTCTGATTCATTATTTATTTTTGGAGACGGGTTTTTATTTTCTGTGCTGTCTTACTTCTCTGACTTTGTGCCAATGTGCTGCTTTGAAAGTGTTACATATCGTGGGTTTGTATCATTAATTAAACCCTCATTCTATATTTTAATGAAACGTTCACCCTCTGGATCATACTTTCTATATTTTTCCTTATGAATGTGTTGCTGGACTGCCAGGTCCCAACAATGAACAAATTACCTCTCTTTATGCATGCTGAGATGCTTCTGAAACATTTTGCATGAATAACAATCAATAATAATCAAGTGGTCTATAATAGTGGTTCGCAAACCAGCCCTTAGAGACCCCTAGATGGTCTACATTTTTGCTCGATCTCAGTTCACAACACAGGGTTAGAGCAAAAATTTGGATTGTCAGGGGGTCCCTGAGGACCAGTTTGAGAAGCACTGCTCTATGGAACTGCAAAAGCTGGTCAGAATCCTTTCAAGCAATAGCAAAGCCCAATATTCTTGTCATGTTTTTGGCCTTTGCTGAACAAAAGCTTTTCTCCAAAAATGTAATTATAGACATCGTCATCGTGACTGAACACCTGCATATTCGTGGAGCAGAAGTCTTGTCTGATAACCCACCTTCAGCAGAACTTTTAAAAAATGACTCACCGGCTCTCATCTTGAGTTACTCATTAGCAACACCTGCTGGAAAAATATCCACTCCGAATTTTTAACTGTAGTAAAAGATGTCATTCAGATTTTGTCCACAAGAAGGCATCCATAGGAAAAAGCTTCCCAAAACATTTTATTTGTTTCTGATGTAAAAATGCAAATGATCTCCATAGAAGTATTTTATTATTACAGAAATATCCAGGTCAATTTGGAAAAAATGAACCATCAGCAGTTCATGACGACTCCAAGCCTTCGTTACAAATTAAAGTTTTTTTCTTCCACCAGAAAACTCCATTTGGCTATAAATAATTCAGTTTAGTAAAGAGTACAGAGTAGAGCAGAGTTCAGGACAGGTGCTGGCGCTTGTGTCTGAGTATCTCTGTGGAGGTGAGGGTCAGGTCTTTGTCACAGATATCACAATGGTACAGCCTAGTCAGACTAGAAGAGGACACAGACTTAACCGTTTCAGGGTCTGTAAAAGCAGATAAAAACGGATGAATAATCCCAGAACAAAGGCTAGTTAAATACTGTGGGCCTCAGTGGCTTCAACACAGTCACCACTGAGAGTCCAACCAGAGAATCCAAATTCTATTTAATATGGTACAGTAAGACAAATATCTATCAAATATCCAGCAATTTTATAGTAAATGTGTCTGTTTTGCCTCATTCATGCATCCTTGTGTCTTACCGTCCTCAGGCAGCTGTTCTTCTGCAGACCTGCAGGTGGCCTCATGTTGCATGCGCTCCAATGGTGTCAGGGGCAAGTGCAGGTCACAATGAGGGCAGCTCCAAAACATCCGTAAGCATTCACTGTACAGGTCTTTGGAGTCCTACGTAGCACACACACAGAGAACAAAGAAAAAGAAAAAAAAATTATTCAAGCCTGGCTTAAGCATACTGTTTCTGTGATATGAAAACCTTGTAAACCCAGTTGTGTATACCACTTAAAAGTGCCAGCCTTTCTCAGTGTGCAATTTTACAAGTATAATTTACTTCAACTTTAACATTAACTTTAACTTACACGTTTTCCTTTTCTTTTAAACTTCCATTTTCAAAGACACAAGGTTTTATTACAACTGCAAAGATATGCTACTTAGGGGTAGCAAATATGGCAACTAATAACATCACTACTCTGCCAAAGCTGTTTCCAGGATACTAAATGAAATTTCAAAGGGGGATGCGATTTGAAGTCTCTGCATGTAAATGAAATTTTCAGAATTTATAAGGCAACCATTTTATGAAATGTTACATGTCTTTAAATAATGCTTAAACCCAACTACTGAACAAAGATAAGCTGAAATAACCACTGGGAGACCAAAGGTACTTTACAAAAACTTCACAAATTTGATACTAGAATGGTCCATTAACTAGATCAGAATTATTTTGTTATGTGCAACTTGGTAACTTTTCTTGTTATTACAGCTGATAATAAATTGGTTTCATAATTGTGTTAGTGACTGACACCCAGTATGATTTCCTCCTTTGTATTTTTCTTTATTACTTTGATCAGTAATTTGATTCACTACTGAAATGAGTACCTTTAATGCTTACACAACCTCATCACAAAGACTTGCACTCACTGACATTTCTTTTGGCAAGCCAATTAGGCCTCTTTATTCACATCAGAGGTCATTTTAAAACAATCAATTAGAGACTTAAGAGACTTCAGCTATACTTAACTATATCAGATTTTTAGTGTGTCAAACGTTTGCATACATCAAGTGGATTGTCTGTTTAAGATGTCTGGAAGATTCCAATGACTGCTGTAATTACAACAAAGAAACAGTTTAAGGAGTTGGAAGCATGTTGGAAGTAACAAAGTATTTACAAACGCAATTCCAAAAATTACCAATGCCAATAAAAAACAAAAAGCATTGATTAGCAAATTCTGTTTGACCTGTATTAAACCTAAAACCGTACAAAAACGCAATACTTAAATGTTTTACCTTACAAACTCCCCCTTTTTTTGTTAAAATATGCACATATATGGGGCCTTCATCTTAATATTTTGCACTTCATAATGTGCCACACGGTTTCAGTAGGAGGCAGGCAGGCAGTCTAGCACCCAAACTCTCTGATTATGCAGCCATGCTGTTGTAACACATCCAGAATGTGGCTTCCTGTTTTGGCCTGATGTTGAAATAAGCATGGACATCCCTAAAAAAGACAGCATCTAAAAGCCAGGATTAGGGATGCATTGATACTGTTTTTTTCCAAGTACAAGTACGAATATGAGTACATATTTTTTAGCACTCGCTGATACAGAGTCTGATACCATACTGAGTAACCTACTTAGAAGTAAGCAGTTGTTAGTGTAAATGAGTGGGTTTTGTTCCATGTCAGAAAAGCACTTCTGTACAGCTGTAGTTTTGCTCCTCATGTCTTTTGACATCAGTCTCTGTAGCTAAGTGACAGCAGGAATCATATCCGAGGAGCTCATGTGTGGAGTTTCTGACTCGCACTGTAAGTTTGAATAGAACATTGTGTACGAACAAAACCTACAATTTATATACTCACACTATGAAAACGGTCCATGATATGTGAAATGCAGCCCTTTCAGACAGCTCTGTCTTTGGACAATTTCAAATAAAACTTTCATTCAAAATACTGAAATACTGAGTACTGAACATAGAGACACTGTGCAACGCTGCAAACACTGTGCATTGAAGCTAAAACCAGGCGGTGTTGCACCCGGTACAACAATACAGTCTCTATACAGCCTATTTTGCAAAAAAAATAAAAATAAAAAATACAGCCTATTTTACCAAGAAAAACAAAAAAAAAACCAAACAACAACAACAAAAAAAAACAGTATTAACTTTCATACCTGGCTATTCTATTCAGTCAAACAGATTAAAGTCATCAAATATGGAGTTTGGTAGCAAATGTCAAATTTTCTCATCTCCATTTAGTTGACCAATGTGTCTGCATCAATATTAGGGTTAGGGGTGGGAATCTCTAGGCACCTCATGATTCAATTTAATTATGATTCAGAGGGCTGTGATGCAATTCTAAAACGATTATCGATGCATCTTGATGCATCTTTTTTCTATACAGGATTTCTTTTTTTCTCACTGTGAGGACTTGGTACTTTTAAAGCACAGTATTTGTAATGATCCATAATGAATTTATTTCCAATATCTTCTATTAATAAAACAAACGGAAGTGATGAGGCAAGTCAACTGGAAGGCTCCCATTCACTGCTCTTGTTTGGAGCACATGAGATGCTAGCAGTCACTCATCTGTGATAAAATGCGCAGTTACGGTGAACAAAGATCCTGTGGCAAAGGATGTCCAAGCATCACGCTACAGCTATTCTACCCGTTTTCTTCAGTGATTCCATAACTTCAGTTTTGGTCTCATTGTAGAGTGTGAGGATCGCTGTATTAGCAAAATATCTTCCAGACGGGACGCTGTATCTCGGCTCCAAAATGTGCAACATAAAGTGAAAGCCCTTGTTCTCAAAGACTGAGTACGGATGCAAATCCTTGGCAATAAAAGTTGCGATGGAGTTTGTAGTTCGTTTCGTCCTTTCCAAGACACAACTTGGCGGCATGGTTTCCTCCGGGTTCTCTGGTTTCCTCCCACAGTCCAAAGACATGCAGTCAGGCCAACTGGACATGCTAAATTGCCCCTAGGTGTGAATGTGTATGTCTGCCCTGCAATAGACTGGCAACCTGTCCAGGGTGTACCCTGCCTTTCGCCCAATGACAGCTGGGATAGGCTCCAGCACCCCACCATGACCCAAAAGGATAAGCAGTTTAGATGATGTGTGTGTGTGTGACACAACTTGCATATGGTGTGGCTCCTGTTTTTTTTTCCCTTCCCTTCTTTTTTCCCTTCAACTTCATAGAAGCCAAAGTGCTTCCATACGCTAGCTCAGGGGTCGGCAACATGCAGCTCTTTTACTGCCCTGGTGCAGCCCCACAGCAGAATTAGATTTTTAGGTAAAAATAATCCTCCTTTGCAGTAAAATAAAGCTATGCTGATTGTTCTAACACTGTTTTAACAATAGATGGTCTTAAATGCTGCTAATTCACCTCCCTGTAACTCTGCAGCAGACAACATTCTCGCCTAGCTATAGTAGCTAACGAAAATAGAAAGATAAACATCGATAATTTAGAGACGAATGGACTTATTTGCATTTATAAGCACTTAGTCTGTTGGAAGTTTAGTCTGCAACGAGAAACTGTCAAACACTAAAAAGTCGCAAAGCTGAAGTCAGCTTCTTGTACGAATAGTCCCGTTCCACCTTAAATGGGGCAGCAGTTACATTCTGGCACCTCAGGCACCATTTAAGGTGGAATAAGAAAATTTGAACAAGAAGCTGGCAAATGAGAAGCTGACTTCAGCCTAATAAAAAGTCAAACGTTGAGAGACATTTTACAAGAAACTATTCTACTTTTCAGGAAAAGTTTCCTGCTGGGGATGCGGGAAAAGCGGCAATAAGTCTGCGTTTTCGTTTAGATTGGTTAGCCTATACTAGTACACTAGCACATACTGAGACATATTTACAGCCACAATGGTAAAATGGACATAAAATGTTGTGGCTCCCAAGGTTGTTTGATTTTTGTTGAAAGGACAAATGGCTGTTCTTAACATTGGGGTTTCTGAAGTTTATAAAGTAAAACATTAAATATCTTTTCTATGTTCTGTTATTGTTTAAATACAGGTCAAAGTGGATTTACAAATCACTGCTTTCTGCTTTTCATTGCATTTCACATGCTGTCACAACTTGGAGTTGGGTTTCATTTAGTCAGGTCCACTTCGTAGTCCTACAATTTAAGAACGTAGTCTATCTGTTTCTCTGCATTATTTGTCAACCCCGCTTTTACCCTGTTCATAAATGTTAAGAACCACAACTGAGCAGGCATTATTTTGGTGGTAGATCATTCTCAGTGCTGCAGTGACACTGACAATGTAGTGGCATGTTAGTTTGTGTGGATGCTGCAGAGTGGATCACATACAGCGGTGTTGCTCGAGTTTTTAAACAATGCAGTGGTACTGCTAAGGACAAAATGGCTCTTCTTAACATTTGGGTTTCCGACCCCGACATAGCTTTTAATGCAGAGGATGCCAGTCGGATTTCTCTCTCATCCATTTGTGTTTGTTATGTGCACACTACAGACTGTCCTGGCGCTGCAATTCTGCACTTCCAGGTTCCGCCTTTTGCGTTCCCTCAACATTGTTATCAATTAAAATTTAGAATATCGATTTTTGAAATTTGTGAATCGATTTAGAATCGTCCACGTCTGCGTCGCGATGCATCTAAGAATTTATTTTTTCCCCCCACCCCTATTTGGGGTATTAGGGAAGCGGTTGTGATTAGGTGTTTAAAACGGGCTAAAATCACACTGTGTAGGTTTGGTGGGAATATACCCAAGCGGAATGTTTAAAGTGACTGATGGCTATGTGTCTGACTGTCATATAGTCAGTAACACTGCTCTGTGTGAGCAGAGCCTCCTTCACTGCGTTTGTTCAATAGCGCAGCAGTATACACTCAGCTTACGCCACATGGTATCAGAATGTTGGTATCGGTGAATTTTTAGGAGTATGAGTAAATCAGCACAGTATCGCCCTGATACCCAATGCCAGTATCGATATCGATGCATCCCTAGCTAGCATATTGATGTTGTTGGAAGAAAACCTCGTATCTCCAAAATGATAACTTTACAGGAAAAGGAAAAAACCTACTTTACGTTTAATATAAGTCAATGGAACCAGACTTTCAAAGTCATTTCTTTTAGCCCATTCATCATGAAATTTGCAAACAATGTAAAGGGCAACAGGTATTTTCAACTTATGTTAACAACTTCAAAAAACGTAAAAAATTGAGATACAAGGTTTTCTTCTGACAACAGCGATATGTTGCTCCAGAATGTGTATATATCTTTTAGCTCAATAGTGCTTTCACAAAAGCGCCAGTAATAATACCCACTAACTAACCCCCCATAACATGACAGATTCTGGCTTTTGAACTTTTCACTGGTAACAATCTGGATCACCCTTAACTACTTTGAATTCAAATCATTGAATTTAGCTGTTCCAATCACTTCCATGGCCACAGGTGTATAAAACCAAGCACCTAGGCATGCAGACTCCTTCTACAAACATTTGTGAAAGAATGGGTCGTTCTCAGGAGCTCAGTGAATTCCAGCGTGGTACCGTGATAGGATGCCACCTGTGCAACAAGTCCAGTCATGAAATTTCCTCACTACTAAATATTCCACAGTCAACTGTCGGTGGTATTATAACAAAGTGGAAGTGATTGGGAATGACAGCAACTCAGCCATGAAGTGGTAGGCCACGTAAAATTCCGGGGTCAGCGGAATGGGTTTCCATGGCCGAGCAGCTGCATTCAAGCCTTACATCAACAAGCACAATACAAAGCGTTGAATGCAGTGGTGTAAAGCATGCCACCTCTGGACTCTAGAGCAGTGGAGACGTGTTCTCTGGAGTGACGAATCAGGCTTCTCCGTCTGGCAGTCCAATGGACGAGTCTGGGTTTGGCGGTTGCCAGGAGAACGGTACTTGTCTGACTGCTTTGTGCCAAGTGTAAAGTTTGGTGGAGGGGGGATTATGGTGTGGGGGTGTTTTTCAGAAGTTGGGCATGGCCCCTTAGTTCCAGTGAAAGGAACTCTTAATGTTTCAGCATACCAAGAGATTTTAGACAATTTCCTGCTCCCAACTTTGTGGGAACAGTTTGGGGATGGCCCCTTCCTGTTCCAACATGATTGCGCACCAGTGCACAAAGCAAGGTCCATAAAGACATGGATGAGCGAGTTTGGTGTGGAAGAACTTGACTGGCCTGCACAGAGTCCTGACCTCAACCCGACAGAGTACCTTTGGGATGAATTAGAGCGGAGACTGCGAGCCAGGCCTTCTCGTCCAACATTAGTGTCTGACCTCACAAATGCGCTTTCTATGCTTTCTCATAAACTATAATACTTTTGAATACTTTTGGCAATATAGTCATTTTTATTTATTTTACACTGTTCCTCATCGTTTCAAATGAATTCCAAAATGAATACAAAATTATCAATGTTACTGTGGCTCTCAACACTTCCTTCAGTCCACTGATGCTCCCCCCCTGTCCTTTCATGACCTAAGATAACAATTCACCATATCCCAATAACAAAATCTCACAAATTTGTTTAAAGTGAGTAGTTCTGTGATTTTTAGTTAATAACATGTATGTAACCATGGAATGCATGCAAGTCCAGTACAATACCAAAGCTAAGCTTATCATTCATGAAAATATTCACTACTGAGGAGACTGTTCAGTCATTCCTCAAGAGTTTACTGAACCTCAGAATAACTGACTAATCACAGTGATTTATCAGTCTACTCAGGCTTTAGCAGGATCCTCAGTGTTTGTAAATGCCATGTGAGTTCTGAGTTGGAGTACGCACTTACATTATGTGCTGATTTTAAAATTTTTACTTAACAAGCGCTGATGGCATTTCTTTGAAAGGTGGTATATATTTTTTTTTATTTATGGGTAAGTATTCTAAAAGTGCAGTGTTTTGAAATAGTATTTACCACATTCCCAATTTCTTCTATTTTTGCATATACTTTAAATATTAGACAAAGATAACCAAAGTGAACACAAAATGCTGTTTTTAAATGATGATTTCCATATTGAAGAGAAAATACTGTTCTGCCCTACCTGGTCCTATGTCAAAAAGTAACTGCCCCCTTAGCTGCTAAATCACTACTGGGACTAAAGGGTTAAATTTCCCTAGCCCCACCCAGGCACAACTGCTGCCAGACCTGTTTAATCTAAACATCACTTAAATAGAATCTGTCTGGCAATGTGAAGCAGGCTTGAAGGTCAAGTATAGATGCAAAACAAAGTCACTGAAATCTACCAGTCTGGAAAGGGTTACAAAGCCACTGCTAAGGCTCTGGGACTCCAGCAAACCATTATCCATAAATACAGAAAACTTGGACTTGTGGTGAACCTTCCCAGGTGTGGCCGGCCTATCAAAATTTTACCAAGAGTGCAGGACTCATCCAGGAGAAAGAACTGAAAGAACTCCATCTAAAGAACTGCAGGCTTTACTTGCCTCAGTTAGGGTCAATGTACATTTGCAAAAAATATCTAGATGACCCCCAAGACTTTTGGGATAATATTCTGTGGACTGATGAGTCAAAGGTGGGACTTTTTGAAAGACATAGGTCCCGTTACATCTGGCATAAAGCTAACATTACATTCCACCATAAGAACATTATATCAGCAGTCAAACGTGGTGATGGGTAGAGTGATAGTCTGGGGTTACTTTGCTTCCACAAGACCTGTATAACTTGTCACAATTGATGGAAGCATGAATTCTGCTCTCTGTCAGAAAATCCTGAAGGAGAATGTCTGCCTGTCATTGTGACCTAAAGCTCGAAAACCCTCCAATGTAGCCAATTAAAACAATTCTGCAAAGCTGTGGTCCAAATTGGTAGTTATATTTAAGGCTTAGATGTGCATATTTTTTCCTCTGCAGTTGGCTGCTAGCATATACAGCAAACACCAAGTCAATTAATGAGCCTTAAAGATATACTTTATCAATCACATCTGTACATGCATGCTTCTTCATAAAGCGAAAACATTACTCACACAGAGACAGTTGTATGTGAAGTAATTTGTCACACGCAGGCCTCCTTTAACTGGATCCGGTTCAGCACTCATTCCAGGAAACAGCTGCGGCAAAGAAAGCTCCGCGTGCAGCTGGGGTCCGATGTACAGGTTCTGAGACTGGAGTGCGGTCAGCCGTCTCAGACTATAACTCACCTGACCAGAGAAGTATGCATTAACTATTTATTTTGACTTTCAGTTTATGACATCAAAGGAAGAAGAAACTGTGAGAATGCAGTAGAAATGCTTACAAGATTGGTTGCCAAACTTTTAAAAGATTTGTAAAAGGTGTGTACAGTGCTTTAATTGAATTCTCATTTCTATTCATCTTACTTAATTTCATTAATACTTGTGTTAAATACAAATCACAGTCATTTTCCAAACCTGTTGTTTCCTCTTGACCTTTAGCCTCTAGCTGCATTCTTACTTTTCTCTTCTGCTGAACACCAATCCTTTTGTTTACCTTGTCAACGTACTATATATGTTGTAATTTTTGTTGTTTTGGCTTGCTCCAAAATGTTGTATCACTAACTTTGTAAGCAACCTACAGCTTGAAAAGAGGCAAAATATGCAAAATAAATAAAACATATCACTATTATTAACTGATGTAATCACATGATCCAGTACCTCAGTATAGACTAGAAAGCGTACAAGTCCATCAGCGAGTTTCTCCAGTTCACGCCGGGATAGTTTAGGCCCTGTGAACCCCAGGCCTGTGGTGGAACCTGGACCTGCATGGACCAGCTGAGCCTGGAGCAGCCTTTCCCACTCACCCCTGAGTGTCAATGCAGAAGAAAGCGCTCTCAAAGCAGCCTCGCCATCACTCACACTCAGCTCCAGCCAGCCATCCACAACCAGCCGTGAGCAATCTGCATTGCTGTCAACGGAGTTCGCTACTAGCAGCAAGGTCTGGAGAGGTGAGGAAATGGTAAAAAGATGTACTAAGGAGTAGTGGGGATTAAATAATCTATTGAGGGTTAAAAATAAGTGATTCTATGGATTAGCTATTCATTTAGTGATTCATTACTACCGTCCTATAGTCATTATACTAACTTGCAGGGCTGGGACGCGTACACAGTTGGACACATAGGGCTTGTTGGTTTCCAGCAGAGTTACAAAAGCCAGCAACTGATGCCTATTACTCTGACCTTTATCAGCACCTAGAGAGAAGAGAGAAATGTAATGGGAAGGAGCGCAAGTGAAGTGAACTGGTGAACTGTAGTGTAGACATTGACATTTTTTATCATTGAATGTGGAATGCTTAAAAGGAGTGCATACCAAACTCGCTAGACTCATATTCAGGAACATGTAGCACTTCTGGGTCACTGGCAAACCCACTGGTAGGGTGAATAACAACTCCTTGCTTGTTACGAGTGTGAAACACCTAAAATAAAGACAAAGTATATTAGATAGGGATGTAAATTATTAACTGATAAACTGTTAACCAACAAACTAAACAACTGTTCGACCAATGCTAACGGTCCAACATACAGCTTCAGTATACAATTGAATAGGTGGGTTAATGATTCAAGTTGAGGAACATTCTTGAATTGTATGCATAAGGTCGCAATAAATAACTGGTTTGGCTTGATAGGCCTACTAAAAAAATGAAGCGCACTGCTAAGAATAGTGGTGTTTGGTACCGTATCAAAAGCAAACATTCAGAAGCGATAAGACAGACAACCTTTAGTCCATGTTCTCTGAGAGAAAATGTAATGCATGCTGGAGTGAGGAAATCACACATGGGTGCACAATAATTATACAGCAGGATGTGGTGAACAGCTTTTGAGAGCTAGTCAGATACATTGAGTCAAAGCTAGCCATGGTCATGGCATTTTTATTTGTTAGTAATAATTGGTAAATGTAACTTTAGAACTTTAGAACATATAACTTTCAGTTGCCCCTTGTATATATTTCAGCGATTTCGCAGGTCACTTATCATGTATAATGATAATGTGTAAAAGTGGAATAAAAATTAAGCTGAAAACAAAGAAATGTAATGACTAGGGATGGCATGCCACATTTTTATTCTCTTCTGAAACCAATAATGTTATATAAACTTTGCTTATCAGTCAAGGGGAATACTGATACGATATTGTTCTGTATAAACTACTAAAATGTAAAGATATTTTCAATTGAAGCTCTTCACTTAAGATAAGCATCTAAAAGGAAGAACAGTGTGTGCTATTTCATGCTAGATTTCTTATAAGATTACATCTAATTTAATTTTTTCTCTCCCATCTCTGGTCCATGGTTTTCTGCTGTTATCGGCCCTATTCAAAAAAGAAGTGTCTCCCTTTTACCGTTTAAAAGTATGATAAAGAGATGATTATTATTTAAAATATATTAATGCACGCTTTAATTCCTGAATGGACATGTGTGTGGTGTGGATTTTATCAGCACCACTCCTGATAGCCACCATCCGGTTCATTTTGATTCCAAACTTAATAACAGACCAGGATTTGAAAATTAAAGCAACAATTGTTAATTTACAGCTGTGAACCAACTCAATTTCCAAGTGTGTAGGCGTGTAAGACCGATACCTGCTCCGAATCCTTACGGGTAGAATTATGTTCATCAGGAAGCGCTAGCTGTGGGTACAGGCCCCGGCACAGCACCAGTCTGAGCAGAGCCTGTTGCCGAGATGACAGATCCGCACTGATGTACGCAGCTTCCTGAAGCTCACTCACATTATGCCGCAGTTTGAACTTCACTTCCTGTGAGGGCCAGCCAAACAAGGACAAAGAATATGCTTTCTTAATTTATTGTCTGCAATTCAGCCTTTGATCCCAAGTTTTCTGCTGAACTGTGTAATAAAATGTATCTAATAAAATTAAAGCAAAATTGAAAACTAGAGATCTCTGTCTCTTTGGATTTGTGCTGCTGTTCCACAAATGAATCACCTGTATGTCCATGTCCTGTCCTGCAGAGCCTTTGTCCTTCTTGCCAGATCCTGTTCCCTCACAGTCTGAGCCAGAGGAGGGGTCTCCCTCCAGGCCTTCCTCCAGACGGAGCACTTTCCTGCGGCTGCCCTCCTGCAGCTCATGCTCCCTTTTCAGCTGTAAAAGTCTCTGATGCTCAGTCAGCCTCTCCCTGCGCTGGGCCCGGTCCTGCGCTGACTGTGCAGAGCGCTCCTCTGGCTCCAGCAGCCCGTGGCTCCTCAACAACTCCTACACACAGGGTACACAGTGCACAGAATACAATTAACATCTACAGAGATACACAGTGTTATGAAAAAGTATTTGCACAGTTTCCTCTATTTTTTGCATATTTGACATTTCAGGTTTCAGGTCCTCATTTAAAATGTAACATATGACAAGGAAAACAGTGAAACACAAAATACAGTTTTTAAATGCTTGTTTACTCGCAAATTTAAGCTTATTCTGATGATGATGCCTACAATATGTTCCAAAAATGTTGGCACAGGTGCAATTTAAGACTATGGAATGTGGTGAAATATTCTAAAAACACCTTGAACAGGTGATACAATAATGTTCGAGTATGAAAGGAGCATTCAGGAAAGGCAGTCAACAAGCATCTGCAACGAGTATAGGGATTTCAGCATCTCCAGTCCATTATTATAGGATTCAGAGAATCCAGAGAAATCTCTGTGTACAAGGTCAAAAACCAATACTGACGGCCTGTGACCTTTGACCCTCAGACGGCACTGCATTACAAATTCACACACTTCTGTAATTTATATAACTGTGTGGGCTCAGGAATACTTCAGAAAACTCTTGTCAGTAAACACAGTTCATCTCTGCATCTAAAATGCAAGTTAAGCCATGTATCAGCAACATCCAGAAATGCTGCAGACATCTCTGGGCTAAAACTGATCTAAAATGGACTGATGCAAAGTGGAGATAAGTGATGTGGTCTGCGAGACCACCTTTTAAATTGTTTTTGGAAATAATGGACTTTGTGTTTTCCTGGCTGTTGAGATTTTGTCTTATTTTATTTGTTTTATTTTCCTCATTTTTATGTTTCCATGGTTTTAAGTGTTACTCCTTTACCTTAAGATTGGAGTATTTAACTAGAGTAACTAGAGTATTTAAAACAGGATCTGTGTCCCAGAGAAAGCCAAGTCTGTTTTTTTACGATAGGTCTTTGGCCTTTTACAACTAAAACTAGGGCCTTGGGGGAGGAGTGGACAAAGCATAAAGCTCTGTTTTAAGCTGCTGTTTTCAGACTTGGTTTGAAGATGGACAGCGCGCTTCTACAATAAAATCATCATTTCTGCAAACCTGCTTCCTTCCTTCGCAAAAGAAAAGATTAACTTCAGCTGTTCCAGTGACTCGGATGGGACAATCTCCCCTTTTTTTGTTGAGCGCTGCAAAAAACGGTGAGTGAGACCTCCTGGGAAAAATAACTGCCAAACAGAAGAAAGGACTTGCATAAGTCCTACTGACTTTGAGTTGCGTAATACCTAGGTAGCAAACATGGGTCAGCACAATCCGAGGGAGATGTATTGCAGATTTCAGATCAATTCTGTTCAAAGAAAAAGGAGAAAATGTATGAAAAGTTTGGTATTCCAGAGGAGTCAGAATGGGATCAAAACCAATGTTTTTTGGTTCTAAACAAATGTGTACAGAAAAGGGACCTTGAGGGATGTGTTTAGCTGTTTCAACAGTGGCACTCTCTGGTAATGACAAAGCAGCAGCAGACAATTAAACAGTTAAAGGAGCAATGCTAAAATGACCAGTATGCAGTAACTACTGCTGAGAAAACGTGAACACACTCAACGTTCCATCAATATCCTCTAGGCTAAGGTGAAATTATTGGGGAAAGAACAAAATGAGTCACAAAATCAGGGACAGAAATTGCACCCCTCTCTTAAGGAGATTAGAAGTAAAACAGAGGAGCAAACATCAGTAGAATCTTCTAGTGATAGTGATCATGCTGATTTTAATCTCACTATACTGGAAGCATCCCTGAGTGAAACAAGTAAAATCAAAGACAGGTAAGATTAAGATGACAATTAAACACAAGCCACTGAGCCCAGAACAGATAGATCTTTCTGGCAAAGGAATTTAGGCACCCTAAGGAAATGGGCATAAGCCTTTTTCTGATGCTAATGACCCAGAAAATCAAACGTTATTCCCTTAATCCTTTGGATGTTATATCAGCAAAGCTTGCAGATACTGATGCCAGATGAAATTGAGAAGTTGGAGTTGTATTATGAAAGGAGTGCAGAGAAGCTACAATCTCTCATGGTGGTGCAAGAGTGTAATTCAGGCTTGCTTACTGTATTGCGTAATGCTTTGGGATCTGCAGTGTGTTGGCAAAAAGTTGTTAAACGCCATCAGAAAAAGGGTGAGCGTGTGGGGCAGTACACTCAGCACTTCGCTGAGATATTCATGCTACATGGGGGTCATGCTGAATGTACAACAGTTGAGGAAGTGATGGATGCCAAAGTGCCCATGGCACAATGGGCTAATGGTTTGACTTCAGACATGTGCAAAGTGCTACCTTTGTGAAAACCTAACTGGTGCAAAGGAAGGCTGGCTGAGTTGTCAAAGAGTTTAACAGTATATGAGAGGGATTCAAATGTGCATCTGCATGTATCTGCTGTGCTACAGACTGTAGCCACCCAGTGAACAAATAACCAGCAAACTCAAAAGCCGGATAATAAGGCATGATAACCGCATGATAGGTAGTTGTAAAAAGAAAACGTTTCATATGAAAAGGAGGGGCAAGCTCAGGACAGGTCAGAGGTGGGTCCCTGAGATGGTAGGACAGCTGTTAAAACTTATACAGCAGGCAACTCAGCTATCTGCTTCCCCGAACCAACTAGAGCCTTTAAACTAGAAATGTGTGCTGTGAGAGCATATTTACAACCAATTACATGTGATCAAGATAAGACAACAGGCTGTTAGTCAAAACCACTGTGAACGGTCAGGAATGTGATTTCTTGATTGATACGGGGGCACAAGGTACTTTAATGCCATGGCCAAGAATTTTGGCCTTCCACTGATGAAAACTGGAATTGTAATTACTGGGATGACTGGTGAAAGCAATGATACCTATTGAACAGAGCCTGTGTGCCCAAAACTTGGCCCTAAATCTTTCAATCTCTCTAGTAGTGGCTCCCATCAAAATACCTCCAATTCTAGGTATTAATGCTACTTCCCGGTTGCATATGCAATTGGATTTTGAGTTTAAAAAGCCTAAGCTCTTCATTCTTGCAGCTCAGGTGTCGGATCCTCATATCATTATCCATCCTATCTGGTCTAAAAGATAAAGATGAATGTGGTCTGTTGGATGTTGAACCTGTACAGCTGATGGGCACACCTCCACCAGTCGCTAAGCAGTACCTACTAGCTAAGGAAGCCAATGAAGAAATCCATCCAATCATTAGTGAGTTGGTTAGCATGAGCATTTTGATTAAAGCACACAGCAATTAATGTTCTCCAATCTGGCCTTGGGCATGGTGCCTCACAGTAGATTACTGCATTCCTAAAATGCACATTGATCACATTACACCTTTGGTGGCAGATCCTAGGAGTAATTTTGATGGTGTTCCAAGCATGCATACTGTTTTTTAGTTATTGATATGGCTAATGGCTTTTTGTCTGTTCCTCTTCACCCAAACAGTCAGCTCTCATTAGCATTTTACTTTTTTGAACAATATCAGCGGACTCCTCTCCCTCAGGGTTTGCGTAACAGCCCTACTTTTTTATTACGCTCTAAGGCGACAACTGGCAGAACTAGAATGTCCAGTCAAGGAATCCACTTTAGTGCAGTATACTGATGATGTCATGTTTGCATCACCAAATTTGGAAGTGCACACTACTGAGCTGTTGGCATTGTTGACACATCTTCTCTCACATGGTCACAAGGCTAGTTCAGCTAAAGCACAATTAGCCTCCCACTCAGTTCGGTATTTAGGTCATATACTGTTAGTGACCGCAGGACAGTGGTCTATCCTTCTCGATCATGCTGCCACTGTACGTGTACTCCCTGCAACCATCAATAAATGAAAGGACCCTGCTCAATTTTAGGGTATGTAATTATTGTTGTCCCTGGATCAAGGATCATGCTCATATTGTCCAGCCATTGTATGAATTGCTGAAAGGGTCATCCAAAGACACAAACAGCTGCTGGTTGTCTGACACAGCCAAAGAGCCTAAATCAGCTCTGACATCTGCACCTGCGCTGGGGTTTGTGCAACCTGAACTGCCCTTTACTTTGACTGCATGTCTTATGCAGGACCATGGCGGGCAGTTGTGCCCCGTCCATTATTATTCAGCCAAGTTATATGTTAATCCTACTGGATTCGGTCTATGCCTGCGTGCCATTCAAGCTACATATGTGGCTGTCACTGCCTGTGCTCCAGTGGTAGTGTCACAGTCTCTCACAGTGCATTGTCCACATGCTGTTACTTCCTTGTTGTCATCAGCTTGTGTAATTACAGTTACAGCCCAGAGATAGAGTAACTGGGTCACTGCTCTCACAGCTCCTACATTTGCCTCCAAAGGACATAATGAGTAATCCCTCATTTATTATTAATGATGCCTGCATTGTCTGATACGTGTTTTGAGGGTGAAGATGATGATCACGATTGTGTAGTGTTATCACACACACCACAGGGTGGGCTGTTTGTTCACTACATGCAGTGATAGCTCAGGGCTGTCTCCGTGATCATTTTTCGGCTCAAGCTGCTGAGCTTGTAGCTTTGATTAATGCCTGTATTTTAGCATCCTGACTCTCAGTTAATGTCTTCACAGATTCAAGGTATAGTCATGGCGTGATCCATGACTTTGGCCATATCTGGCGTAGACATGGTATCCTAACAGCTGCTTGTACTCCCATAAAGCATGCCTAATTGGTTTCTGAGCTTAAAGCAGCTAATGAGCTTCCAACAAGCCTTGCCGTTATTGAGGTAAAAGCTCACTGCCCTTCTGATTCTCTTGAAGCATGAGGTAATGCCATGGCTGACGCTGCAGCTAAGGCTGCTGGGAGGCTGCCCACAGTTTCAGCTGCTGCTGTTAATGTTTTGGAGCTTCTGATTTACAAACTTTGCAGTTGTCATTATCAAAGATGTTTTCTGATGCTCCTGAAGCTCTACTTCCATTTTTGGCTCAGCAAATCTACAGCTTAGGACATGTGGGTGTCCCCAGCATGGTCCACCGGTTCTCCTCAGTATGTTGGAACCCCAAAGTTCACACAC